CATACATATTCAAATTTATATATTTATATATATGCAATATCTATACATACATATTTATGGATATTGATTTACAAATGTGTGCAAATATGTTGTTGGTATATTGGCCAAAAATACAAATAGATTCAGATATCTACACATATATTTACATCAACGTATACATACATTTTGCAAATATCTATTTTTTTTTACGCCTACATATATACTAAACTGTTTCCACATATATATATATATATATATACAGAAGGGTACGCTGTCAGGTCCCCATTTTTCCACGTTTCTGAAAATGCAGTGTTTTTGCTACATCATGTTTGATCCTTTATGTTCATATACCTGTGATGGTATTGCTAGAGGTCCACACAGATTGTCAGACTTCCTCAGGTTGCCAAAGAATGTCCAGAGAGTCATGAAGATTCCCAGGGAAAAGGAAGGAGGAAAAAAAAATAGTGTGTGTAGATATATATGGCTTCCCTTAGGAGGAGAGGTGCCCAAGGAAAAAACTTTTTTTTTCCCGGGCTTCTCCCCTCTCCTAGCCCTCCTATGTACATAGCCCCTCCCTGATGGCAGGTTGCCAAAGGTTGCCAAAGAATGTCCAGAGAGTCATGAAGATCCCCAGGGAAAAGGAAGGAGGAAAAACAAACATAGTGTGTGTATACCTTAGGGGAGAGGTGGCCAAGGAAAGGGAAGGAAAGGGAGCATTTTTTTTTTTGAATGAGCCTCCCCCCTCTCCTAGCCCTCCTATATATAGCCCTCCTATATAAATTGACTGATGGACTTGCATTTTCCTTGTAGTAGTACTACTGTATGCATCTATAATATGGATGCTGCATAAGTAGCGCATAGCAATACGTACACACATTTTCCACATGTACTTTGCATATGTAATGGAATTCTTCCAGGATTGACTGCAATAAAGACTCTTTGGTTGCAACTGACTTTGCTTGTAAGAGTTGGCACATGGTAAGGGCAGCTCCAACTTACCCTTTCTCCAAAAATATGTTTTTTTCCTGCATATTTCAGTAATTTGCTGTGCCACTGCATATCTAATCCAGGTACCCTGTTACCATAATTGCTTGGCTGTGCCTTTATGATTTTTTATGACAGGATGAGTAACACCTAAAAAGAGGTAAGACTGTTTATAAAACTTGACAGAAAACAGCTATGACACAACACATTGGACTAGGAAGTAGCAGCTCCCAGAATGCATTCATATGGAAAGGGGTCCCTTCTCCATCCTTTTGATCAATACTCACTCTTGTTCTTAATTCTTTGATCGATAAACTGTATGAAAAGTTTCATGGGTTGTTTGTGCTTTAGTGGGTGAATGGTTTCAACCAGTATGCAAGCGCATTGTCACAAGTGTGCAGTAGTATCAGTATATATACAGTAGAAATTGCAGCTTCGAACATGCACTGATATCTAGAGGGTATTTTGTGATACAAGCAATATTTTTTTTGCAAATACCATAGCCATTTGCTATGTCAACGCTGTCTTTGCAATAGCTGTATACCTAGGTAGTACCTATACATTAATATATACATGAAGTACAAACTGACACAATGAATCTCTATGTTTCAAGATGTTGTTGGGCAAAGAACTTTGCCATTCATGCACTAAGACCACCTGTCAAAAAACAATAGAGCTACAAAACGCAAGCAACCAAGAATAGAGCTAAGGATTAACAAACCAAAATCAATACATCTCCCAAGAACTTTGATCTTAGTACATACAGTTATGGAATGGGTGGCATATAAGTCACCTATGCCCTTACAGACACAAGTTTTCTACATTTCTCCTGCATATGCAATGGTATTCTTCCAGGTTTCAATGCAGTAAAAGATCTTTGCTTAAAAGATCTTAAAAGATCGATTGGTCGCAAGGGTTGGCAAATTCCCCCTTGCTTCAGAAAAGGCGTCTTTACCTGCATATTCCATGGTAATTTGCTGTGTCACTGCAAATATAACGGCTGACATTTTATTACCATAAATGTACTCATGGCTGTGGGCAAAACTTAAACTATGCCAGTATAAGTTCATCATGGTAACCACAAGGGCACAAGACCAAGTAAAGGAAACACTTAAGCAACCTTACCAAACAACTGTATCTATAGAATGGCTGCCTTGCTTGTGCATTGATGCAGCAAATTACCATGAAGTATGCCAAAAAAATGCACTTACTTGAGGAGGGAGAGTAGATTGGAATTTGTACTTTCATTTGCGAAAAGAGTTCCACTGGAACTATGATGTCAACCAAAAGGCGGCCTGGCAATCCAATATCAAAAGCCACCAATGCAAATACAAAGTGCTATGTATATGTATATATTTACTGTCTTTGCAATAGCTGTATACCTAGGTAGTGCCTATACATTAATATATACATGAAGTACCAACTGGCACAATGAATCTCTATGTTTCAAGATGTTGTTGGGCAAAGAACTTTGCCATTCATGCACTAAGACCACCTATCAAAAAACAATAGAGCTACAAAAAACAAGCAACCAAGAATAGAGCTAAGGATTAACAAACCAAAAACAGTACATCTCCCAAGAACTTTGATCTTTCATATATGATCAGAAGAGGAAAAGAAGCATCAAATAGTCAAAAAAAACGCTTAAAACCACGCATTTTTGGGGACCTGGTGGCGTTCCACTCTCTATATATACCTCTGGGATCCTCCGGGTTTATGCGAATATTTACATTTGTAAATTTGTATACTTATACACACATATACTTATACATTTTTATTTTTACGCGTTTATGCATATATAAATGCAAAACTACATAAATTTTCAATTATGTATGCATATGTGAATATTCAATTTTGCAGATTCATACATATATATATATATGCATATTTTCATATATCTATATATAGATTTTCATTTTCCATACACATACATTTCTAATTTTGTATATAAACATATTTAAGTATGTATGTATATATATATATATACATATATATATATGGTGATCGATCTAAAGGTCCTTGTAAGGAGTTTTAATTGCGAAAGCCGTGCATGTTATGTTGGAAACCCTCGCGAAAGTTTTTTTCGAGTTCGCGAAAGTAAAATTTTATTTCGCGAAAGTTTCGTGAAAGTTGGGTATTATAATCATTATATGATATGTAAAGGGCTGCCACCCACTGCCGCCCGGGGTCCGGCAGGAGAAGGGCACCAGAGAATGCGAGTAGCAGTAGCCAAGTTTCCAAAAGTGAGGCTTTGCGAGAGCCAAACACCAAGGCCCCTGGTCTTCGCTTTTTCTTCAGTGCACCCCCTGCTGATGGCCGGGGTCTGTGAATAGGGATATTTTCGCGAAAGTTCCGCGAAAGTTATGCGAAAGAGCGGGCGAAAGTCAAAGTGCATGTTGAAGGGGGTGGGCCAGTAAACTTTGCAAACAAATCTGTCCTGAGAAGGGATTCCGTGATGCTAGCTGGATGTTTAAAAGGCTACCAAGAAGTGATCCGTGATTCTCTGGCGTAATTTGGCAGGCGGTGAACGAATCTTCATAAGAGGTGTTGTTGGCCAACATGGGCCCCGCGAAAGATAAACATGGAGTTCGCGAAAGTTTCGCGAAAGTAAAATTTTTATTCGCGAAGAATGGCCGTCCCGGGATAAAGGAATTTTGATCAACAACCATATATATACATATATATACATGCATATTTACATATAGGAAAATGCATTTATTGATGCATCTAGTGTTTATATACAAATACTCACATTTAAATGCGTGTATATTTGTACATGTGTATATATAAACATATTTATATATGTAATCTTAACCTACCGGTTGTAACCATCATCATGTTGACCCTGCTTCTAATTCAGTCCTCCTGATTTAGCAAATGCACGTATGCCATCCAACCTGAATCAGATGGTGCTGCAATTGGATGCCTGTTTTCCACATGAGGTATGCCCACATGTATGGCAATTTTGAAAACAACATGAGGATCAGAACATGCAACAGAGTGGGGCAGCATATTTTCAGACAAACCTAAGCAAACCCAGGCTTGCATTTGAAAAAAAAACTTGGCCATAAATCAATTACCATTTCAGGGGCCCAAATTGGAGATAACTACCGTATACAAGGCCTATGTAAGGGCTATGTAGGGCCTTATTTGGTACCTTGGTTCCCCGTGTTTCCCAGACAGTTTTCATCCAGGGTGAACCCGACCCAAGCAATGCGCGATGGTGCCATTGGATTTTGCACCGCAGATCTACCAATTCCTTTTGAAGTCCTCTGGTGTCCACCTCTGGGAGTCTAGCCTGGTTTGTTGGAAAATCCCCGTCAATGTGTGCATTGATGAATGTATATATTCAAAACGTATGCATTTGTTGGACACACTATTTGTATATATGTACATATATTTTTTTTTACTAACATAACATATAGATATATAGAAACCTATCCATTCAGTTCGATGATATTCGCACGCAAAAACTGGGATTTCCCAAATTTCAATGCTTTATAAAACTCTCCGGAGGTTCTTCAAGCCTTGGGTCCCGGTCGGAGAGGCGTGCAATGATTCAAGGTATGTATCGAGTGGATACCACGTATCTGTCTATTTCATCTTATCGCGTCTAATTTCATCTTATTTCACTTTAAGTATGTTGCCTTATCGTATTTTAATTTGGTTTATCTTAGTATCACCCCAGTTTGTCAGATCTGTGAAATTGCTGATTTCATCTTGCCGCATCTAGTTCTTGAAGTTTGTTTTCCTTATTTTTCCATGTTTGTTTGATTTTTGCATCTCCCTTCCCTGGCCTTTCTGGCCGGATGGACAAGATGCAGGGTTACTAGTCTTTCATCAAAGTGACATGAGTGAGATCCCAATGTGGAAATTTTTGCCACAAAATTTTCTCATTGGTGGATACTCAGAATCAGGCCATTGCATCTCTCTCTCTCTCTCTCATCTGCAAATGTATCTACATAGACTCGTCGTCGTCGTCGTCGTCGATGCTGCTGCGTAGCACGCGCATGCAGCCGCCACCGCGCTCGGCGGGATCAGCAATCATCGGGAGGCTCCTGGGGCGGGCCCCCCCCCCCGGGCCCCCCTCCCCCCCCCTTTCCGTTTAAGGGCAAGGAAGGAACGGCGAATAGCACCGAGCTGCCGAATGATATTCGATTGGCCCCCCCCCCGCCCCACCCGAGACGAGCGACACAAGACGAGGAGGGACGAGGCACGACGCGAAGGTGAGAAAAGACAGGGCAATGCCACCAGATGTGGTCCGTAGATTGGACAAGGTAACAGCAGAAGCAAAAGTTGGGAGGGGCCGACGAGTGAGCCGTGGTAGACAGACCGCCGCACATGACTTGACGAGCATGACCGTCGACGGACAGGGAGACCTGACGGAGACGATCCAAGAGGGCCGACGTCAGGACAAGATTCGACTCGCGAGCAATACGAGCATCGTTACGCCGAGAGTTAAGCCACACCCGCGCACGAGAGAGGCGCCAGAATTGCCGCAGGCAATGAGCATACCCGGACACAAAACCGACGGGAGAGGAGGAATCCCAAGCAAAGGACCCGAAACGGAAGACCCCAGGCCCCACAACGGCACCCCCGAGCCGACTAACCGCACGCGAGAAGCACGACAAGAAACCCGAGGGCCGCACAGCAGGGACGAGGGGGTGAGAAGCACGCCACACATGAAAGGCCTTCAGAACACGCTGAACGGAAACAAAAAGGAGATCCGAAGTATGCCCCAGAAGGAGAACCTGCTGCAGATCCACACTTTCATGACCTCCTTCGTAGCCTTTGACCGCACACCTAGCCAAGGTACGAAAGGAAGAAACCTCAGCAACAGAGGGGACACGCCCACCCAACAGCGACCCCCACGACACCAAGGGAGACAAAACGAGAGAGACCAAGGAAGACTTGAAGCTGTGAGAGCAAGGCAAGACGGCAAGACGACGAGCCAAGCGATGAGCTTTCTGGAACCGGAGAGTTTCCGACGGAGAGATACCGCGACCACACAAGCCGACAGAAACACCGAGGACCTCCACCTGAAACCGAGGAGACCAGCCATGCGCTTCGAAAGCAGCGAAGGCAGCCTCCGTACGGGCCCAAACCTGAGACTTACCCTCGTGAGTTTTGGCGCGAGTAAGCCTAGAGAATTCAGCCCAAACCGCCTGAGCCTCCCGAAGAGCACCAACAGTACGGGCCAGCAACGTGCGATCATCCAGAAAGAGGAAAGCAGTGGACTGCGGGACCAGACGCAACTGTTTACGCAGAGGCAACATCAAACACAGGGTAAGACAAGCCGGAGACCACGGATCCCCCTGCGGAAGACCCAGGACGGAACCCAAGGGACGAGGAGCCACGCAATCGGCAAAAGAGACCCAACGCTGATGAAGGGACCACTGAGAGGAGAGGAGGTCACAAACGGCAGCAGGGATGTGGAGGCGACGAAGCAGGGCGACGCACAAGCCAGAGTCAATGCTATCGAAGCATTTTTCAAAGTCAAGGCAAAGACCGAAGGGAAAATCCTCAGGAGGGAACTCTTGATGCAGAGACAAGAGACATTGGTACACATCCCGGACTTGGTGAAAGTCATACAGGGAGGTAAGATGGGACTGGAGGTCAGACAGGCGGACAGAAGACCAGACGCGGTAAAGGACCGGACCCACACATATGGGACGCACCCCGCCCAGGGGAGGGGGGCCATTACCCTTCTTTTTGGGAATATACTTAACAACCCAATGGTACATAGCACGAGGCCAGGTACCTTGGCTTTCACAAGACTGCAAGAACTCGGCTAACCGACAAACAGCTTCGGCCGGCAGATGCAGCAGCAAGTCTGGAGACCAGCCGTCTGGGCCTCCCGCGCGTCCTTTCATTTTTCGCAGAGCTTTGAAGATGCGCTCGGCCGTCAAAGGAGGTAATGGTTCTTCAAAGGCAGAATGGGGAAAATCCATATCGTAGTGATCAAAAAAGGTTTGAACGTTACAAGCATCAGCAGCCTGACCAAAAATGGGTTTCCAAAAGGATCTCAAAGCACAAACAGCTGCAGGTTTAGAACCGATGATATCACCTTGTTCATGCCTGACTGTGTATGGAGTGGCAAGTTCCTGACGCAGCCACCTGCATGCCCCGGGAACAGTGTGCACCCGGTCCCGCCATTTCTGGACAGCGGCTTTCTGTTGAGTCTGAATGAGCGCCGTCAAACGCTCCATGGACTTTTTTCTAGCAACTCCCCACAGGCGACTAGAAACAGCATTTTTCTCATCGGAGTCGGAGCAACCCCGAAAAATGTTATGGAAAAGTTTGGAAGGAATCAAAGAACCTTTACGGGACATAACCAAGGCCTCATCCAGGCGTCGAATATGCCGTCGCAACTGTCTCTCCTGTATGCTTTGCATACTAGCAATCCGGTGCGCACTAGAGGTAAGAGTAGGAATGGAGCCAAGGCGCCTTTCAGCTTTCTCAGATACCAAGACGCCGTGCGCTTGAAGCCAAGATTCAGCATTGCGGGACCAGAGGTCCCAAGCCAAATTGACATCCGTTAAAGCTGACTGCCAAGTATCCGAGGTGCAGGCCACATCTTCCCAAGGGACCGCGGATCCCACAAAGTCAGCATTCACATCAGGACTGAGTTTGGGAGTGTGTGTGAACCGCAAGTGTTGAAAATTACGACCCGCAACAGTCAAATTGAAAGAAATTTCCGCAATGGTGTGGTCACTAGGGCTGGGTAACTCCTGCGAAGTGAGCACCGGGAGCCCCGCAGAATGCCAGATACCATCGATAGGAACCGTCGTGTGACGGGCACAGCTGGAACAAACTCCCCCAAATCTAGAAAAGGTGTCAGGGACGATGCCAGCCTCCATGCTGGCATTGGCATCCATGGCCAAAATCCATTCTTTACCATTATTGGCTTCAAGGAATGAAGAAACATGGTGAAAAATCTCAAATTGTAGATCCGAAGCATGTCGATAAATGGAACCCAAAAAGAAAGGTCTTTGGAGGCCTATCACTTCAGCACACACAAACTGGCCGAACCCTTCCTGGATAGCAGCAATTTGAACCAGGGAGCAGGGCTCCCTGGTGAGAATAGCAACGCCCCCTTTTCGATGCCTGTCCGGAGGAGGGAGATGCGAATGGTGCCATCCTGCTCTAAGAAGTTGATGAGAGAAGGAGGGAGCCGAAATGTCAGAAACATTGGTTTCTTGAAGCAAGATCGCAGTAACATCTTCGTCCCTGGCGGAATCGAGCAAGGCCGTGCCGTTGGCCCGCCAGGAGCAAATGTTGACAGACCAAACTTTGAAGTCGTGAGTCTTGTACTTGGCCATGGACCGGGAGGGGCCCGGATGTTGGGCCTCCCCAATTCTGACCCCTCTAGCAGGGTGAACCCTGCGTTTGGACTTAGGCGGTTTCTTGGTTCTTTGGACAGTTTGCTTTCTGAGGGTCTTCCAGATAGCTTTGCGTTCACTGAGAGGAGGAGGTTTCTCAGCGAGTCTACAAACGGCAGTCACATAGTCACTCAAGGAAACCACCATGCTGCATTTTCGACATCGGTACATGGCCCGACTCCAAGGTTTGCCAGCTTTGGAGACATACTCACGATAGTATGCCGGTTCCAGTTCGAGAAGATGGGCTCCGGCCCACGGCCCGTTTTTAATGAGCTCGTGCATCCGTTTCCATCGCGCATCCAGCGCGTCAGCGGCGCGAACCAGCCTAGCAGGGTTCGCCAACGAGTCATTCTTGTTCTTGTCCAACAGAATGTTGTTGCTTTGGTGCACCTCCTTGAGGTGTTTAGCTTTGGCATCAGAACGTCGCGGATGCCCGTGCTTGACAGTATAATCACACATCGGACAGTGCCACCAAGTCAGCTGGCTACGATCCGCATTGATGAGAGGAAGACCTCGAAAGGGCTGAAGACGTTTCGCAGCACTAGCGGACTCATCCCAAGCCGCCTGACGAGCGGCTTTGTTTTGGACCCGCAGGGCGACACGCCTCTTGGCAGCTTCAGTCTTGGAAATGTGGACAGAGTTCCTGGCTTCATCATACCAAGCCTGCCACAATTTTTTCCGAGCCGCCAAACTGGGAATGGCCTCATGGTTGCCCTCATAAGCGGGACAAACTTGAGCCGCAACTTGACTGGACAAGATCCTGCCAGAATCACACTTTGAGCATTTCCAACTAAGCTTGGCCTTGGTCAAAGAATGCATGCCGGGCCAAGCCCACTCAGCGCAAATTTCCAAAAGAGCGGCCCATCTCTGCTTGTAATACCGAGCGCTGACAGACTCGTCAAGTTTCGGAGCTTTGAGTTTAGGAATGGCAGTGGGAGCAAATTCATGTTTTTCAATCAGGTGACGTCGCCGGGCGTCAGAGTGAGAAGAGACCCCCGGAACCCAATACACCTTGAAATCGCAAATGTCGCAGCTCCACCAAAGTTGCCCAATTTGTGTCCGGTGCCAGCTGCGGGGGCGGGCATGCTGACTCCCGTCATGGCGATCCTGGGGTGGATCAGGGTTATGACTAGCTGGCGCAGAGCCAGCAACGGAGGAAAAGGCTTGAACCAAATTTAAGGAACGCGCGGCAGGCACGGTGCTATCAGGGATGGTAAGATGAGAATCCGGAGCCCGTTCCCTTTCGGTTTGTGTCCCGTCAGTGGGACGTTTCCTCTTACGATTATGGCCAATCGAAGAACTAGAAGGAATATTAAGGTCAGCAGAACCCTGGATAGAAGGGGGCATAGTATGCTGCGGCTGAAAAAAAGACTTGATGGAGGTTTGCTTGACTGGAGTCTCAGGCGGCAAATCAAGCGCAGAACCAGGCTCACCACCAGTGCACTCGGCGGTGGCACCATTCACATTTGGTTTACGTTCTCTACCAGAACACCCACTGGAAGGGCCAAGGCTCAGACCGGGACTGTGAGCATGGTTTGACCCAGGCCTAAGTTGTTGCTGCTGGCTATGGCAAGGAGAGCTAGCAGGCACAGACAAAGAACTAGATTTGGCGCCGGCTCGCAAAGCGCCTCTAGGGAAGGCCGCAGTGGCTTGAAACCATCCTTTAGGGATGTCTTGTTTGGGGTCCGAAGGGATAAGGGCCCGGTAGTGACCTCCTTTTAAAACCAAACAAATGGGGTGAGCACAACCAGAAGAAACATGGTCCTCATGCGGGGGAATCAAGAACCGATGCCAATTTTGATCTTGACTATCCCACACAAAGGAAATGATGTGTGTTTGAAGCCTCCTAGCCAAAGCCTGGAGGAGGAACCCTTCACACCAGTAATTTTTCCTGGAAGCAAGCATACAAAATTCTTCATAATCCTGCGCAGCGGGTTGATTGTCTCTGTGAACAGGCAGTTCTTGCGAATCAACACTCCAAAATGGTTTGAAGTGAGTGCTGTGTTTCACCAGATGGCCAACCGCCATGGTGCGAAGACGAGAAGCTTCCGAGACAACCGTCTCTTCTTTGTCCCAGACTTTCTTTTGCCAAGTGGCCAAACATCGAGCGGCCGATCTGAATCCGCAATCCCCCGTACCTCCTTCGTCCTTGATGGACCAACCCGGGGCACGTTTCAGGAGGAGCAGATCTGGATCAACCGCAGAAGCCTCAGAATCTGGCGTTTTGCCCTTTCCTCCCGGCGGCTTCCTCCTGTGAGACCGGTCTCGGGCTTTACCAGAATCATCTTTAGACTCAGACTGGTTGATCGCAGTCTCAGAATCAAAGTCATCAACATGAGCCACAAACTCAGGGGCTACCCATTTTTTCCTGGGGGCAGGCACTGCAGTGGAGGAAGCATCTTTGCGCGGTTTGGGAGATTCCCTCAAAATGGTGATATGGCAAGAATTGTCATGGTTAGCATAAGACCAGGTACTATCGACGGTCTTATCTTGGAATGGGGGAGGGGAGGCATGAAAAACCCAGACATGTTGGCCACGTCGCTTGGCGCGGTTGCGAACCTCCAGGGATTTCCATCCTTCTTGAGAGAGAAACTGGTGAACATCACGGTGCTCCCAAAAAGTAGGGACCCCATACATGTCCCATGATTGGCGTCTGCCAGGGTTGAACTTCAAGGGATCTCCCCCAACTAAACCAATATCGTTCCCACCCCCTTGCCGCAGGGCCAGTGGACAATTTTCAGTTTTGGATTTCTCCAAAGCAGCTCTGAAATAAGCCTCAGTAGTGAATCCCTTTGGCTTAGGCAACCAAGCAACCTGAGGCCGAATTTCCTTGGTGAGGACGGTGGCAAAAAGGCCTCGGAGGCCTGAGACCCCGCAGACCTTGCGCGCCAGCTCTTCACTGACCCGCAAATGACCAACCAAGATTTGACCATGTGTATATTTCATGAGTTCCCATCTGCCCCCAGTGAGAGCAGCCACAGGAACACCTGCGGTTTGTGCGAACTCGCCGATAACATCACTTGGTTTATCTTGCCGCTCAACCCCAGCAATACCACACCGATAAAATTGGGGGGAAAGCAGCCTAAGAGTGACCAACTTAGGTGGCAAAGTTTGGAGCATTTGCACCATTTGGGGAGGCCGAGGCACAGGACCTTCGTTGAACGAAGAGATTTGGTGAGATATGACCTTATATCTGAAAGGTGGAGACGCGGCTTTGCGGGAATCCCACCAACAAGAGATGGTCGGTCCAACCTGTCGGCCCGGGGTGACCACCGCAACAGTCATGGCTTGGTCCAGCTCATAAGCCTGCCATATTTGAGTGACTTCAGCTGGAACCGCTTCATCAGCGGTCACGATCAGATTGCCAGTAACAACATGATTCTGCCGCAAACAACTCATGATTTGAGGAATACTGGTGATAGTTGGGGGCGAATCCCATTCAACCGGATTGACCCGGGCCACAAACCTGGCACGTTTTCTTGGGGGGCCCGTGGTACCAGACGTATTAGAACCGAAAGACCAGTCATCCACAGCCGAACGGCCAACACTGTGGTTCGGTTTGGTAGAACTAGGTTCCTGCTGGGGATGTCTCAAAATGCTATTGGGATGAGAATCCTGAGATCGGACCCGGCGCTCCGTACCAGAAGGCAAAGGAGGAAACTGTTCTGGGTCAGCAAAAGTGACCCGTCTGGTTTTCGACTCGTTGGAGTCCATGGGCATGTTTCCAGCAATGACCTTAGTCAATTTGGATTGCATCCGCTGAATAATCTCTTGGTCCGACCACGAATTATCAAGAGCGGACTGCAAAATCTGCATCAGAGAAGTGGCCAAGTTAGACTTGGGCTGTGGCACAAGATTGCCACCCTTGCCCTTTTTTTTGGGAGGGGCACTGATGCCCTGTTCATCAGCTCGGGATTGAAACTTTCCATGACATGCAATAGCTCAGTGGCCAGGCTGACATCCGCTTCTTGGGACGCAGTCTGTTCCTTTCTTTTGCGTTCCGTCGATCGAGACCCTCCAGGTCCCGGGCCCGGATTGCTGGCTTCACCAACGCGCTGGGCATTCCATGGATTCCAATTTCCAAGCTTACAAATGAAATTGAAGACAGTGGTACCTAAGGAATACTGACGGTTCCCTGAAAACCAAAGCCTGCCAAATTGCACAACTGGGTGGTTCAAAATAGTTCCCAAAAGAAACCAAAAACGGCTGCATCCCATAAGCCCTCGCGAAGCGGTGGATGCGATCTGCTGAGAAGATTTGCCAGTCACACAGAAAGCAGAACGGCGAGTCAACCGAGCATTCCGAATGGCTTTCAATCTGATCCAAGCAGCATGCTTTCCTAAGAGTCTGTAACGTTTGTTAACAACTTTGTGTCTCCGTTTGCCAATCCATCTGCAAGTGCCGGCCCATCGGCGTGAGACATGTCTGTTCTTGGGCTTAGTGAATTTCTTCCTAGCTCTTCGGCTAGGTTTTTGGGTGAAAATGGTGAAACTGGGATTGGCAGAAAACAACCAAACCAGGCACATAATAAAAGAGTGAGCAGAGAGATCTACATCCAACATGTCCTGCAGGTCCTGCAAAGGCTTCTGCGCTGCTGAAGGGCGCTGCGCACCCGGTTTGCCGCCATGGCTTGACCAGGCCAACGAGTTGCGGCTAAACCCAGGGGTGCCCAAAGGGCAGGTTCTATGTGCCACCAAGGCGCCTGGTACCATCCCACCAAACGAGCCCCAAAAAGGAAAACCAGGGGGACCATTAGGGGGAATGCGACCAAAACAAAAAAGCAACAGCCACATCAAACGAAGAAAGTGTCCCAACGTCAGGCCCTTTCTCACACAATTCTTGATTTTTCTTGTGGGCATCTTGTCCTTCAGTGAAGGAATCTTGAGGGATCTTATATCGGTTTTTTGTTCCTGACAGACCAGGAAACTTTTCTGAGTCACATTTCGCTCTCCAACAGCGGTCAACTCGGTTGGAGCCCGCATCTACATAGACTCGTCGTCGTCGTCGTCGTCGATGCTGCTGCGTAGCACGCGCATGCAGCCGCCACCGCGCACGGCGGGATCAGCAATCATCGGGAGGCTCCTGGGGCGGGGCCCCCCCCCGTACGTTCGACACTTGGAGGCTATATCGCAAGCCAAGAGGCTATGGATCAATACTAATCAAAAGGCAGCGAAGCAAACCATAGGCGCAAAATGGACGCAACTGATTCCGCCTGCTTCGGGCCGTAAGCCGATGAAGCCGCTGAAACCGCTGGTGCCGATCAGGCCATTTGAGCCGATGAGGCCGCTGGAGCCGCTGAGGCCGATGGAGCCGATGAGGCCGATGAGGCCGATGGAGCCGATGAGGCCGCTGGAGCCGATGAGGCCGATGGAGCCGCTGGAGCCGATGGAGCCGCTGGAGCCGATGACGCCGATGAGGCCGATGAGGCCGATGAGGCCGCTGGAGCCGATGGAGCCGCTGGAGCCGATGACGCCGATGAGGCCGATGAGGCCGATGAGGCCGATGAGGCCGATGAGGCCGATGAGGCCGATGAGGCCGATGAGGCCGATGGAGCCGATGAGGCCGATGGAGCCGCTGAGGCCGATGAGGCCGATGAGGCCGATGAGGCCGATGAGGCCGCTCGAGCCGATGGATGGAGCCGATGAGGCCGATGGAGCCGATGAGGCCGATGGAGCCGCTGAGGCCGATGAGGCCGATGGAGCCGATGAGGCCGCTCGAGCCGATGGATGGAGTGAGGCCGATGGAGACGATGGAGACGATGGAGACGATGAGGCCGATGGAGCCGCTGAGGCCGATGAGGCCGATGAGGCCGATGAGGCCGATGAGGCCGATGAGGCCGATGGAGCCGCTGGAGCCGCTGGAGCCGCTGGAGCCGATGAGGCTGATGAGGCCGATGGAGCCGATGAGGCCGCTCAAGCCGCTGGAGCCGATGAGGCCGATGGAGCCGCTGGAGCCGTTGAGGCCGATGGAGCCGATGGAGCCGATGAGGCCGATGGACAAGCCGATGGTCAGGCCGATGGACCAGGCGCGCCACAATGCAAAGCACCCATGCTCTGAAAGTGGCGCTTGGCGCCGCAGGTGAATCCTACGCAGTATTGCCAGTATAAAGAGAGTTGCAGGTTACAGCTACATGTATCGAGACACCTTAACCCATTCCACCCTGCCTACATGCACAAGAAGTGGTGCCGCAAAATCGACGCCAACCGTCAATGGCACGGCCCCCCCCACATCCCCCCCCCCCCCCCCCCCCCCTCCCCCCCCTTCCGTTAAGGCCAGAAGGAAGGCGATAGCAACGAGCTGCGAATGAGATCGGATGGCCCCCCCCCCCCGCCCCACCCGAGACGAGCGACACAAGACGAGGAGGGACGAGGCACGACGCGAAGGTGAGAAAAGACAGGGCAATGCCACCAGATGTGGTCCGTAGATTGGACAAGGTTTTGCGAACAGCAGAAGCAAAAGTTAGGAGGGGCCGACGTATGAGCCGTGGTAGACGGACCGCCGCACATGGCTTGACGAGCATGACCGTCGACGGAGAGGGAGACCTGACGGAGACGATCCAAGAGGGTCGACGTCAGGACAAGATTGGACTCGCGAGCAAGACGAGCATCGTTACGCCGAGAGTTAAGCCACACCCGCGCACGAGAGAGCCGCCAGAATTGCCGCAGGCAATGAGCATACCCAGACACAAAACCGACGGGAGAGGAGGAATCCCAAGCAAAGCACCCGAAACGGAACACCCCAGGCCCCACAACGGCACCCCCGAGCCGACTAACCTCACGCGAGAAGCACGACAAGAAACCCGAGGGCCGCACAGCAGGGACGAGGGGGTGAGAAGCACGCCACACATGAAAGGCCTTCAGAACACGCTGAACGGAAACAAAAAGGAGATCCGAAGTATGCCCCAGAAGGAGAACCTGCTGCAGATCCACACTTTCATGACCTCCTTCGTAGCCTTTGACCGCACACCTGGCCAAGGTACGAAAGGAAGAAACTTCAGCAATGGAGGGGACACGCCCACCCAACAGCGACCCCCACGACACCAAGGGAGACAAAACGAGAGAGACCAAGGAAGACTTGAAACTGTGAGAACAAGGCAAGACGGCAAGACGACGAGCCAAGCGATGGGCTTTCTGGAACCGGAGAGTTTCGGACGGAGAGATACCGCGACCACACAAGCCGACAGAAACACCCAGGACCTCCACCTGAAACCGAGGAGACCAGCCTTGAGCTTCAAAGGCAACGAAGGCGGCCTCCGTACGGGCCCAAACCTGAGACTTGCCCTCGTGAGTCTTGGCGCGGGTCAACCTAGAGAACTCAGCCCAAACCGTCTGAGCCTCCCGAAGAGCACCAACAGTACGGGCCAGCAACGTGCGATCGTCCAGGAAGAGGAAAGCAGTGGACTGCGGGACCAGACGCAACTGCTTGCGCAGAGGCAACATCAAACACAGGGTAAGACAAGCCGGGGACCACGGATCCCCCTGCGGAAGACCCAGGACGGAACCCAAGGGACGAGGAGCCACGCAATCGGCAAAAGAGACCCAACGCTGATGAAGGGACCACTGAGAGGAGAGGAGGTCACAAACGGCAGCAGGGATGTGGAGGCGACGAAGGAGGGCCACGCACAAGCCAGAGTCAATGCTATCGAAGCATTTTTCAAAGTCAAGGCAAAGACCGAAGGGAAAATCCTCAGGAGGAAACTCTTGATGCAGAGACAAGAGACATTGGTACACATCCCGGACTTGGTGAAAGTCATACAGGGAGGTAAGATGGGACTGGAGGTCAGACAGGCGGACAGAAGACCAGACGCGGTAAAGGACCGGACCCACACATATGGGACGTACCCCGCCCAGGGGAGGGGGGCCATTACCCTTCTTTTTGGGAATATACTTAACAACCCAATGGTACATAGCACGAGGCCAGGTACTTTGGCTTTCACAAGACTGCAAGAACTCGGCTAACCTATAAACAGCTTCGGCCGGCAGATGCAGCAGCAAGTCTGGAGACCAGCCGTCTGGGCCTCCCGCGCGTCCTTTCATTTTCCGCAGAGCTTTGATGATGCGCTCGGCCGTCAAAGGAGGTAATGGTTCTTCAAAGGCAGAATGGGGAAAATCCATATCGTAGTGATCAAAAAAGGTTTGAACGTTACAAGCATCAGCAGCCTGACCAAAAATGGGTTTCCAAAAGGATCTCAAAGCACAAACAGCTTCAGGTTTAGAACCGATGATATCACCTTGTTCATTCCTGACTGTGTATGGAGTGGCAAGTTCCTGTCGCAGCCACCTGCATGCCCCGGGAACAGTGTGCACCCGGTCCCGCCATTTCTGGACAGCGGCTTTCTGTTGAGTCTGAATGAGCGCCGTCAAGCGCTCCATGGACTTTTTTCTAGCAACTCCCCACAGGCGACTAGAAACAGCATTTTTCTCATCGGAGTCGGAGCAACCCCGAAAAATGTTATGGAAAAGTTTGGAAGGAATCAAAGAACCTTTACGGGACATAACCAAGGCCTCATCCAGGCGTCGAATATGCCGTCGCAACTGTCTCTCCTGTATGCTTTGCATACTAGCAATCCGGTGCGCACTAGAGGTAAGAGTAGGAATGGAGCCAAGGCGCCTTTCAGCTTTCTCAGATACCAAGACGCCGTGCGCTTGAAGCCAAGATTCAGCATTGCGGGACCAGAGGTCCCAAGCCAAATTGACATCCGTTAAAGCTGACTGCCAAGTATCCGAGGTGCAGGCCACATCTTCCCAAGGGACCGCGGAACCCACAAAGTCAGCATTCACATCAGGACTGAGTTTGGGTGTGTGTGTGTGTGTGAACCGCAAGTGTTGAAAATTACGACCCGCAACAGTCAAATTGAAAGAAATTTCCGCAATGGTGTGGTCACCAGGGCTGGGTAACTCCTGCGAAGTGAGCACCGGGAGCCCCGCAGAATGCCAGATACCATCGATAGGAACCGTCGTGTGACGGGCACAGCTGGAACAAACTCCCCCAAATCTAGAAAAGGTGTCAGGGACGATGCCAGCCTCCATGCTGGCATTGGCATCCATGGCCAAAATCCATTCTTTACCATTATTGGCTTCAAGGAATGAAGAAACATGGTGAAAAATCTCAAATTGTAAATCCGAAGCATGTCGATAAATGGAACCCAAAAAGAAAGGTCTTTGGAGGCCTATCACTTCAGCACACACAAACTGGCCGAACCCTTCCTGGATAGCAGCAATTTGAACCAGGGAGCAGGGCTCCCTGGTGAGAATAGCAACGCCCCCTTTTCGATGCCTGTCCGGAGGAGGGATATGCGAAAGGTGCCATCCTGCTCTAAGAAGTTGATGAGAGAAGGAGGGAGCCGAAATGTCAGAAACATTGGTTTCTTGGAGCAAGATCGCAGTAACATCTTCGTCCCTGGCGGAATCGAGCAAGGCCGTGCCGTTGGCCCGCCAAGAGCAAATGTTGACAGACCAAACTTTGAAGTCGTGGGTCTTGTACTTGGCCATGGACCGGGAAGGGCCCGGATGTTGGGCCTCCCCAATTCTGACCCCTCTAGCAGGGTGAACCCTGCGTTTGGACTTAGGCGGTTTCTTGGTTCTTTGGACAGTTTGCTTCCTGAGGGTCTTCCAGATAGCTTTGCGTTCACTGAGAGGAGGAGGTTTCTCAGCGAGTCTACAAACGGCAGTCACATAGTCACTCAAGGAAACCACCATGCTGCATTTTCGAC